TAAAATTGGTGATATAAAATTAAATTCTAACCTTACTTTACATAATGTTTTATATGTTCCTAACTTTACTTTTAATCTTATTTCTATTTCTAGTTTAACTTCTCATGATAATATCTCAGTTTATTTTTCATCTAACCATGCTATATTGCAGGACCACCTTACCAGCAAAATGATTGGCTTTGCTGATCTAAGGAATGGCCTCTATTACTATAATCCAGACTCATTTTTAGATCATATTCCTACTGTACATTCTGCAAGTAGCCAACATACTACTTCTTCTGCTACTCTCTGGCATTTTAGACTAGGACATTTGCCTTTTAATAAACTTTCCATGCTTCCTGATTGTAATGTTTCCAATAATGAAAAGCACTCTTTACCTTGTGATATTTGTCATTTTGCTAAACAAAAGAAACTTCCTTTTCCTATCAGTATTGCTCATGCTTCTAATCCTTTTGATTTAATACATATGGATGTTTGGGGTCCTTACAAAGTTACTTCTTATACTGGTTTTAAATATTTTTTAACTATAGTTGATGACTACACTAGATGTACTTGGGTTTTTCTACTAAAAATTAAATCTGAGGTAAAATTTCATATGCTAAATTTCTATACTTTTATTGAAACTCAATTTCACAAGAAAATTAAAATCATAAGAACAGATAATGGGACTGAATTTCTTTTTCCTGATTTTTATAATTCAAAAGGAATTCTTCATCAACTATCATGTGTTGAAACACCTCAACAAAATGGTAGGGTTGAAAGAAAACATCAACATATTCTACAAATTGTTAGAGCTCTCTTATTTCAATCCTGTTTACCTCTTACTTTTTGGTCTGATTGCATACTTACTGTTGTACATATAATAAATAGACTACCAACTAATATTCTGAACAACAAGTCTCCTTTTGAAATGCTTTATAATCATGTCCCAGATTATACTCATTTAAAGGTCTTTGGTTGTTTAGCTTTTGCTTCAACTATTTCTTCAAATAGGTCTAAATTTGATTCTAGAGCACATAAATGCATTTTTATTGGTTATCCTTTAGGCTCTAAAGGATACAAATTATATGATTTAACCACTCATAAAACCTTTGTTTCTAGAAATGTTAAATTTTATGAAATGTCTTTTCCATATAAAAATGTACATACTGACAATATTTCTGAATCAGATTTTATTAACACAGAAAATAATCATATTATTAATGACTACTTAAACACTATTTCTAATCCTGCTCCTCAAATTTCAAATGAAAATAATAATACACATAGTTCTTCCACTCTCACAAATTATTTGGACAATCAAATAAATGAAGAATTAAATTTGTTTCAGTTTGATAATATTAATTCTAATGCTAATGATTCTTCTAGTCTGTTGCATACAGATACTTCTCACAATCATGAAAGTATTCCTGAAGGAAGTACTCAAAGAAAATCCACTAGGGTAAGATATATCCCTGTTCATTTAAGAAACTTTGATTACAAATTACCCAATTCCCTTCTTCCAGATAATTCTGAACCTTCTTGTAATATGGTTAGATACCCTATTCAGAATTATATCTCTTATAACAATTTACATTCTTCTCATCACTGTTTTATTGCTTCTCTTTCTAAAATTTCTGAACCAAAAACTTACAGACAAGCTGTTAAATTTCCAGAATGGAAAAATGCTATGAATGATGAAATTAAAGCTCTTGAAAATAATAATACTTGGGTTCTTGTCGATCTTCCTACTAATCAACATACTATTGGTTGCAAATGGGTTTTTAAAACAAAATTAAAAGCTGATGGATCTCTTGATAGATATAAAGCTAGACTTGTTGCTAAAGGTTATACTCAAGAAGAAGGCCTTGATTATTTTGATACTTTCTCACTTGTTGTAAAGCTAACAACTGTTAGAATTCTTTTAGCTATTGCAAGTTCAAAAAATTGGTACTTACATCAATTAGATGTAAATAATGCTTTTTTACATGGTGACTTAAATGAAAATATTTATATGCAGCCTCCTCCAGGATATTTGCCTAATACTGATACTAGAGTTTGTAAATTACTTAAAAGCCTATATGGTTTAAAACAAGCATCTAGACAGTGGTATTTTAAACTTTCTGAAGCTTTAAAATTTTTTGGTTATAAACAGTCTCAAGCAGATTTTTCTCTTTTTACTAAAGTAACTGATATCTCTTTTACTGTCATATTACTTTATGTTGATGATCTAATTCTTGCAGGAAATGATATGAATGAGATTAATGCTGTTAAGTCCTTCTTACATCATAAATTTACTATTAAAGATCTTGGTAAATTAAAATACATTTTAGGAATAGAAATTGCTAGATCAAAAACTGGTATTGTTTTAAACCAAAGAAAATATACTCTTGATATACTTTCTGATTTTGGTTATCTTTCTTCCAAACCTTTTTCCACACCTATGGATTGTAAAATTAAACTTTCAAAGCAAAATGGCATTGTCTTAAATGATCCTAAAACTTATAGAACTTTAATTGGTAGACTGTTATACCTTACTGTCACTAGACCTGATATAGCTTATTCTGTTCAAACACTTAGCCAGTTTTTATCCTCTCCTACTAATATTCATATGGCTGCAGCTCATAGAGTACTTAGGTATCTTAAGAGCTCTCCAGGTAAAGGCCTCTTTTACCCTTCTAATTCTTCTTTTAATATTCAAGCATATACAGATTCTGATTGGGGATCCTGTGTTGATACTAGGAGAAGTATTTCTGGGTATTGTTTTTATCTTGGGGATTCCTTGATTTCTTGGAAATCCAAGAAACAATCTGTTATCAGTAGATCTTCTACTGAAGCAGAATACAGGGCAGCTGCAAATGCAGTTTGTGAAGCCCAATGGATTGTTTATATTCTTCATGATTTACAAATTAAAAATTTTTTACCCATAACTCTGTACACTGATAACAAATCTACATATCATTTAGCATACAATCCTATTCAACATCAAAGAACTAAACATATAGAACTAGATTGTCATTTAATTAGGGAAAAGATCAATTCTGGTCTTATAAAACTTATCCATATTCCTAATACTTATCAACTTGCAGATATTTACACAAAGCCTCTTGGACATCCTCTCTTCAAGCAGTTTGCAGACAAGATGAACATGCAGGACATCCATGATCATCTTGAGGGGGCGTCTTAAGAATAAAGAAATTGATTATTTTGATTTTGGGCCTAATGGACTATTTCTTTATTTTAGGCCTGTTAGCCCTTTTGTATAAATAGGTTCCTTCACCTTCTGTAAACATAAGAGATTCATTTTTCTCAATCCTGCTTTCCGATCGTTGCTTCCGCACTCTCTGTAATTCGTATAAGCTTTCACAAGAAGGGAGATGCTCAATCATCACTCGTCCACTGGTGACTCATGAGGCAGTGGTCTAAAAGGTTTTTGGGAAAACTAAATCTACTGGCTAGGGACGTGCATCTAACCAAACTGCTTATCTTTTATTAATTTTATTCTTTTGAGGCAAACTAACCCACCATCGAAGAATCTAAGAAAACTACGGAGAATATCAAAGGTTTATGAAAAGCTTGTTTAACATAAAATTCTAACTTAACGGCTTGCGTTTCACAAACATCATTTGTGTGACTTTAATGTGGTGCATGTCTAAACTTTGGTTGAAAGAGATTGAATCTAAAATGTCAAATATATTACAAGAATTTTGTTAGTAAACTCAAGTTGAGTTGTATATCTAATTATATCTATGAAAAAAGCCTAATACAAATACTCCGTATGATAATTATTGAAACAGGAACATGTCTCTTATGGACTATGGTATAAACTCAATTTTATTGCTCCCTCCATTCATCCTAGCCTAAGCCTCATCCAACTCAATCAAAATATGAACATAAAAATAGGGCATCATTAAAGAAATAGGGATTTCAAGTGTGTTTCTTACCACAAGTTATTCCTTCAGTGAGGCAGTATTTCTTTTTCCTTTCTCTACTGTTACTACTTTTTCAAGTTTTTCTGTGGCAACCGTTGAAATAGGGTCTACAAACTTTGCAACTGTAGGTTGAGAGAATGTATGGCATATATTGAAACTAGAGTGCTGCTTTAACAAGGAAATACTATAATTAGGGTGTCGATTTAATGCAGAATCATATATTATCTGAATTGTTTAGCAGTGAAGGTACCAAAACACTTTTTTTGTACAATGGCGCACCCTCTATAAAAAAAAGGATGACACCACATCCCTGAGGGCCCCCCAAACACCAACCGGACGGCACGATGGGAGAATGTAAATTGGACTATAATCACAATCTGACATATAGAGAATGAGGCTCTGTCCTCGGTGCTTGCAGAGGCTCTATGCACTTTTCAGCATAGTAACCCCTCATCGCAGTTGCTGGAATTTGAACCCGAGACCTAACCCTTGTGGCACTCCCTCGCTACCAGTTGAGCTACACCCCCGGTAATGACGGACCCTCTATGTTACTATGTTATGTCACTGTCAATAAATAGACATTTCTTTAATGATGAAGTGCAATTTTTTAGGGAAAATGCTCAATGTGAAATTTCCATATTTCCAATGTTCCATCTGTGTGACTAAGGGTTGACCCATACCGAGACCTAAGACCAGTCTGAACCGATATCGGCCAATTCTAAGGGTCAGACTGGAACCGCGAGACGCGGTTCAGTTAAGAGACTGGCCCTGACGTGACAGTTCACAGTGACCAATCCCTCGGTGTCTATTTTTAGATCAAGATCGACCGATTCAGTTATGGTTAGATCCTCTTTTACATTTCAACAATTGGAAGCATTAAAGGAGATATAAACTCCTTTAAAAGTTCGAAAGGGCTAGGGGTTTTGAAAATAGTTATATAAAAAAAACTAGACCAGCCAAAAACCTGGAATAAAGGTTCTGCCCCTGTTTCGGTTCCCCTATCCAGCTGGCCAGTCCGGGACCAAAACCAGCTTAGTGTCGAACCGGGTTCACCCCTATGTGTGATGTTATGTGCCAGTGAAACTCTAAGTTCTGCTGATATTTTCCCATTTAATTCTCTACTAGCGCCAATAAAGTTTTCAGTTTTCACTGAATTTTAGAATATAATTACAAAGATATTGAATATTGTAGAAAAAAGCCGGAGATGATGAAACATGAGTACAGTTGTTTTCCAACTTAGGTCCTTGCAATCAAAGAAAACCTTGATCAAGATCTACCATCCTTCCACGCTAACCCCTGTATCATACCAAAAAAAAATTGTCTGAGAATTAGTGCTTATGCTGATGGGTGAAGTTGGGAACAAGAAAATTGTAGGATTCTTCGAATGAGGCATGAGAGTAGGGAATGAAATCCTCTACTATGGGTGGGCAAAAGGTCAAAGGAATCATGGGTTGGACTGGGTATATAGGTTTGTGGCAGATAAGGATAGAGTCCTAATTTTAGAAAAAACAAATGAGGCAGGGCGTGATGGGGGTCTTAAATAAATAGGACTTGTAAGGGTTTTATAATTTGAAAAAAAAAATGACCAGACAAACCAGTTTTTATCATACTTTGTATTATATTAACTAACTCTATTTTATTTATTGTACAAATAGAACGTGGAGGATCTAAATGTTCCTGTGTCATACAAAGAAGAAACTTGTGAGCCAAAGTGCATAGTTGTGAGTCTATATTAATCTCCTAAACCTTCAAGTTTGTTAAATTTCTATATTTTATTTATAGACAGATTCTTATTCGATGAAGTGTCTTAAACTCTTAATCATTTAATTATTATTCCTGATTTCACTTACATTTAAAGATTTATTAAGATTTAAATTGTTCTCTATTTGACATGTAAAGTGACAAGTTTATTTTTTTAGGACTGAATGGTGCTAATCTTTAAAAACACGGATGATGTTTTTCTACATTTCAAAACTTGATGCTATTTAAATTGTATGATTGGGTGCTATTTAGTTTCTATATAGATTTACTGTGTGACATTTTTGTTAATGAATTCATATTTTTTAAAGTTTTATTTTGAATTTTTACTATATTATGGTGACGTTGAACTTATTTAGTTTGAGAATGTTATTACTCCGTACTTATTAGCTAATTTGCTAGTGTAATTTATTTTTTTAAACAGGACTGAGAATCTAGACACAATCGCCTCGTTTCAAATTAAACAAGGTAGGATTTCTATTAGGAGACTTGATATACTCGGCCTGAATTTACTCGTTTAATGGAACCAGTGGTTCTTGGAAACTTTTCCATTAACTAGACATATCGGACTGTGCACACTCCTATCCTTAACATTCGGCAAAGGTGTTTGGCATACTTGAGCAAAAGTAATTGTCAAAAAGACAAGTTGAACACGCAGATGAAAGGCTAGAAAGTCACCCACACCCACTGCTAGCTATACATTATTAAAGCAAATTTGTAGTTGTTGAACAAAAAGCCAACCTAAAAAATATACCCTTTGCTCGTCTCATCATTCTGAATTTTGAAACTTCACCGGACCACATCCTTTATTAGTCCTAAATATAAAGTAAATCTGCATATTGGCTATACCGCCGCTATACATAACATTGAAAAATGCTTATCCAATTCGGATTTCTAATTAATCATTTTTCAGGTTTGTATGCCATGTCATTTCGTAAATTGTGAAGAGAAAAAGGTCACTGATAGTGGGACACAAACAGTGGCGTATTTTCCTTTACAGCGTGACATAGTACACAAAATCGTTAAAAGAAGAATTTCAAATATCAATACCTGAGGAGATCAAAACCAATTTCATGTAGTGTTCCTGCTTGTGTGGATACAAAGTTACCAAGGGTGCTCTGCTCTTCAAACATATGCTAATTACCATGTGATTTCTGGAGACTGCTAGCCATTCAAAGCCGCCACTACAGATCATAATTCATAAGTGACAGCTGAGTGTACAAAATAGTACGAATTGAGCTGTCAATTGAAATAATTGAATGAAAATTGTAAATTTTTAGAAGTTCATATATTAAAAAAGGAATGGAAAACAACAGCTTTACTCCTGGTTCATTCTCAGAAATACCTTTAAAACATTTAAACAGGCCCTGTCCCGAGTAGGCATAAATCTGGATCCGTTCATTTATCTTCTTCTTGACAAAAATATTTGGAAGCTTGAAAAAGAAGAGGTTCATTACCCCAAGATGTCCACCCAGCTGATAGTTCTCTAGAGAACAGTTCAATGCAACCAGCATGACATGGTCCTGACACATACTCCCGCAGCAGCTCTAACGCAAAAAGACAACGTGAATTCAGGAAATGAAAAACTAATTAAATGATAACACATGAACATTTATAGCAGATTATCCTGCATTCCTGCCATATAAATTGAATCACTTTTCCGACACATTTTAATATGTCATACATGTCATCTCAACCACCTTCACCTCTTTCTTCATTATTTATATTTTAGATGTGTATTTTTTTATTAACACCTGGTGATCCCAACTTTGCCTAAAATATCTTGGGCTCCCAAGAACATATCTCAAACCCTTGAAAGAAGTAAATCTGAGTTGTTCGAACAATTCGTTGGGTTTTCAACGTCCATCTATACACCTCCGTGCACAAGAAATCGCTCTTAAATTATTGACTTCTTGTGTCCTCTCGTTATTAGAGCAGCTCCCGAAAGAACCACCAACAACAACATTCAAGCCTTAGCCCCAAAAGAATTTGGGGTCAGCTAACATGAGAATTGATACATGATATCGGAGCCAAAAGGGGGAAAAAAGATAAGAAAGGAAAAAAGTTAAGGTATGATAAAAATTATTAAAAAAGCTAATATAAAATAGAGATAAGACATGTATAAAAGTGATAAGATAAAAATGATAAAAGGAATATATATATATATATATATATATATATATATATAATAAAAATAAAAGGGTAACAAACATAAGAACCAACACCAATTGGTTAAAAACCAACTGATTCCCCACAAGAAGCTCTCACATTGTCGCTTAAGTGATAGGAACCAGATTCATAATACGAAATTTATGTATATTGAAAAGGAAAATGATTAAACTGAAAAGGAAAGAGTACAAGTGAGGCAATTTCGAGAGTGCCTCTCTCTCCCAAATCCCAATCCCAACTAAATTTATGCCTCTCTTTCATTCTTCACTCAGCTCATATTTATACTACGTATGCCTAGCCTGAGGTTGCCACCTCATCACTTTATTTACATTCCCCTTACTTCTTCTATTGTACATTTATACTCTTCTTTAATATTAATATTAATATTAATATTAATATTAATATTGATATTAATATTAATATTAATAGTGTTATTACTGTCCAGGTCCCTATCATCACTCCCCCCTTTGACTACCACCTTGTCTTCAAGGTGGATGGTAAGAAACTATTCTGGCATTTGGTCTCATCGGAGTTTCTGCTACATCTAGTTCAGACTGTTGTTCATCTGGTCCTTTCTCCTCTTCTAACTTTTCCATATGGACAATTTGATAATGTTTCATTCCACAAACATGTTCCTTACTCCATCTGTCTCCACATTTGAAGTAAAGACTAAAGACCTTTCCTACTTCTCTCCTGTACTTCAGCATGGAATAGCCTCTGTCCTTTGCCAATGTGATTTGAAGTTTGAACCTGGTAAGTCCTCTGTTTTAGCTTCAATGGTAGTTCTCTCAGCCTGAATGTTGTTACCACGGTTGGTCCTCCATTTGGTTCCTTCTATCCAGTTCCGAGGTCTGGACATCAATCCTCCCTTCTCCTTCCATCCACGCTTATCCTCCTCCCTGTGACGCCGAGTCTCGGAGTATTGTTTTTCTCTTCCAGTAATAATGCTCTCTCTATCCATTAGCTCAGATAAGGAACCTGAGTGGTAGCGCTTCAGTTCAGCATGTACCTCATCCTTTAAGATATCGATGAAGATTCCTTTCAGCATCTCGTCGACTCTGTTTCTCATTAGTTCTACCACCAATTCAAACTGCTCCCAATTCCATGGCACTTCCATTCTGTGGGATACTCAGCATGGGACCAAAAGGGTTACGCACTAGCTCTGGCTGAAAACGACGGATCAAGGCCGCCTTAAAATGTTCCCAACTGCGATCAATGGTTTTCCCTTCTCATCATTGAAACCAGTTTATAGCCTTGTTTTCCATGGCGATCAACACCATCTCCACCTTCTCCTCTTCAGTTACGTGATTGAGTCTGAAAAATCGCTCAAGCCTGACGATCCACCCATAGGCGTCCTCGCCCTTGAATAGAGGCAGATCTAACTTCCTCCCGGCTCGGTTATGTCCTTGGTTTAAAGACATCTCACGTTGGTTGGATGTCTCCAGCGAACAGTGGGATTCTCCTCTCGATCGGATCATACTTTGACTCTCAAAGGGAAGTTGCTTCCTAGAGGTCCTGAATCGTCCCCTGAAACGCTGGCAATTCTGGTCGATCAGCAGGTTACACAGCTCATCTATCATTGTTCGTGTCTTAGCAACCATCCGCTCCACAATCTCCGAGCAATGTTCCATATTTGTTCTGGTGAAGACCATCCAATGTGCCTTTAGACCGAGATGCTCTTATACCAATGACAGCAACCAGATGCGTAATAGGAAAATTTATGTATATTTAGAAGGAAATTGATTAAACTGAAAAGGAAAGAAAATGTTCCGAGATTATAACTGGTGAAGCAATTTCGAGAGTGCCTCTCTCTCCCAGATCCCAATCCCAACTAAATTTCTGCCTCTCTTTCATTCTTCACTCAGCTCATATTTATACTACGTATGCCTAGCCTGAGGTTGCCACCTCATCACTTTATTTACATTCCCCTTACTTCTTATATTGCACCTTTATACTACTCTGTAATATTATTATTAATAGTATTATTACTGTTCAAGTCCTATCATCGTGGCGAGGCAAAGCAATGATTGCACAACCACCCAAACTAGCCCTGAGACTATAGGATCATCATTTGAGAAAATCTTCCAAAATTTACCTCTTCGGAGACTTGAACCAAAGACTTCTCATATGGGAAATATCTTTCAAGAGGTACTCCATTACAGTTAACTTCTGCATTATATTCTCATTCAGACATTTTGTTTTATGAAGACAATAGCTTTTAGCACCAATATGCTCAATAAACATAGTTTTGATGTTGATGAATACTATAACTAATGAAATTGTTTAAATGTAAAAAAAGAAATTCAATTTACTGTACCATATGTGAGATTCAAAATCAGTCTACTTCATATCATCAAAATACTTTTCAAGATTCACCTTTAAATCTCTTTCAAAAGCTCTGGAAAAAATTATATTTCTAAATAATGTTTTGGCAATAATGCAATATATATACCTGGATGTGTGCATGTGTTATACTCCTCAAATCATGTAGCCTCAAATAAGTTTGAAGAAATTCATTTTTGCTGTCATTGTGTCACTGACCTTCTCTGGTTTTTCTAAGATTTTACTTTCATAACACTAATTGATTACACAGTTGACATGACCAAAACAGTTAAAACATTTATTTTCAAAATTAGGATATCAATCCTGACGGCAACCTCCAAACCTTGGTCTCAAAAGAGTTTAGGGTAGACTAACATGAATCAACATATGAAATCTGAGTAAAAAGGATAAAAGAGATCGATCCTCTATACATATACTCTGTCCACTTCGCACTCTCCAAAGTCATACTCTCATCTAACCCAAAAAATATCATATCATTTCTGACCACTCTAATTCACGTCTGTTTGGGTCGTTCTCTCCCTCTCCTCCCTGTCTCATCCCCTACCTCTCAAACCTGACAAAATTTTAATTATCTAATTCACACCTACAATACTCCTCTGTGTACATTAGCATCTGTATATGATTGGTAACTTAGAGTTTTAGTTACCTCCAACTGGGGGCTTCCTTGAATATTCTCCAGGTACACTCATGAGGACTTGATTATCAGGTATATCACTCAATTTTAACAAATCAGAGGTATTATCCTGCAAAGACGTTGTTTAAGAATGAGATGAGTATCCATATGACAACACAAAAGAGACAAACCAAATGTAAAATCCAGCACATGGAAGAAGCAGACCTTCCCACCAGAGTAACCCACGAGAAGGCATTCATATGGCCTGTGATGAAAGAGATCCAATTCACTTATCAATAACCCATTCAGCTTTACCTATAACATAGAACACTATCAAATTAGTAATGAAAGAATGTACATACACGGTTCATCACCATATAATTAAGGTTGAAGATGACCTTCAACCAATATAAGCTGGCCAGATATGTTACACCCCATGATGGAAATAATTCATTCTCAACGAAACTCCGCAGTTTTTCCCTGTTGGTTACCCATAAGGCAACCAAGGCTCCAGCAGTATGAGTAAGTTTCTTGATGGGAAGAGATAAGAAGGTCCGGTTAGGCAATGTTTGATACCTGGAATTTTGTAGGAAATCAAACTAAAAGTGAGCTCACTAGCTCAGCAATAGTGATACCCATGTGTACCACATATGAGCCATATAATTTGATATTAATACGGAGTACTATGTTATAGTAGCAGACCAACAAATGAAGTTTGGCATTGATGAGTCATAATAGTAGACAATATCCAATTGCTTGCCAATGAAGGGGAGTCAATGGGTTGCTACATAGATGAGAGCACATGTATTTTGTACTCCACATAAAAAGAATCCTATTTGATAAGTTTTTTTGTTAAAAGAAAGTCATATTTTAACAAACAAAGCTATTTTTCATTTAATTTGCCATAAGATTTTCTGCCAACATATAATTAAAAAACAAAAAAATTCTACGGTACCCTTAAGATAAAGGATATTGTACATTATTTAAATGGACTAATCAAAATACCTTAAACGATTAAAATATAAATAAATGATGAAATAATGATGTTGACCAATGAAATGTGTTATAGGTACGGTATCCTCACTTTTTGATGAGGTGTCGTAGCATACTAGCATGCACCTTTTAAAACCACAACAATACTAAGAAAGAATAGACAACACATTAATCCTAAGGTTCAGTGGAGAAAAATAAAACTATTAAATATTTCATAAAAAGTGACTAAATAACCACAACCACAAATCTATCCCATCTCTTTTTATATTCCTCTCAACCACCACCATCTTCCCATCTGCCATCGCTGACCATCGACTGCAGCCACCACATCCGTCCAGTTGAACCCGCCGCTGGCTATCGCCAGCACTGCCACTGGAAATTTTCTACAAAGCAAATGACGGGAAAAGTCACCAGGAACTGCTTCTGCCGGTGACTGACGTGTAGGACGGTATCACTGGCAGGGACATACTATAGGTGGCACATTTAGTTACTATTTTGGAATATTGAAAAAGTAGTCATGTATTTACGACTTCTAATATTTATTCACTTTAGTAATATTATTTTCAAAACCACATATGTTTGTGACTTCAAATATTCGTACCTAGGTAAATTAAAAATGTATGTGCCTTTACCAAACATAACTCACATGTTTTAACGGGGGCCAATTACGTTCATAAATGTCATTTCGAAAAATATAAACAAGTAATTACTTCTGAATGTCATCTATCAGGCATGAAGGAATGTAGTATAATAACAAAAAACTCTCCATATAGTTCTGCACAAAAATTTCAACAAAGTCACCTAATTGAAGTATACTTCAAATGTGGCAATGATAGTCAAAGAAGGGGGAATCATACCTTCGTTTCTGATGGGCACTGCTGTTTTCCCATGGTGGGTCAATGACTATAATATTGAAGCCGCCGTCAGAATCAGCTGCAAGGAGAAATAATTTAATGTTTAACCAGTGTGACAAACAGTAAAGTGTTAAAAGCCTCAGACTGAAATAAAGATAAAATCTCCAATTCAATTAGACAAATTCGGCATAATATTGTGGCATTGCATCTCAGAGCAGACAAAATTAAGCAAATACAAGCTATTGATTCCTACATATATTAGTACCTCGGAAAACATGAAATAAAGATGCAGTATCAGCAATTACCGGGGATTAAGTTGTGAATTTTCCGCACATCAGACTACCAACAGGAAAAGGGAAAAAGAGTTAAAGTATTAAAATCAAGATTCAAGTAATCCAAATCCAGTAAAACTAAAAAGAGACATGGTTACAATCCAAAAGCTCATTCAAAAAGGAATTTTGTGGGGGTGGAAGGATACATACTAGAAACTTCAGGAAGTCAAGTCGTCTTAGTTAAAAATCTTTGCCAGAAACTTTTAAAATAACTTCAATAATAGATGACCATTTTACCATGTAGAAACAACTGTCTTTGGGGATAATATATTTGTGGTTCAAAAACTCAGCCTCTACATCCCCACTTCCTTTATTCACAATGAGATTATCAAAGACTGGGACCACGTCTTGCTTGAAATGTTGACCATGACGAGATCCTGTTAAAACCAAACAGCAAAGTTATTATTTTCAGAAAGCATTGTCCCTTTTGGACTTCAATCCTATGGTAGTAGGATCTTCCACAGTCCAATAAAGAAGCAGAATGGAGATCAAGTACTTGTAACATGTAAAACTGCCAATATAAGCCCTGTTTGACAGCATTAACAGGCTTTTTCTGCTTATGGTAGAATTTACAGAATAAATAGAATTTGACTTGCTTGGTTGAAATGGTTTTACCGAATGCTTTTTCATTTGAAAAAAATAGCAGGTTAAGTCTCTTCACCATTTCATCCAAAGAACCGTTACCAAAGTAACCAAACTAGCTCATAATATGATATCCATCCAATAATAAGTCTAATCATTCCGTTCTTCCAAACTAGCTCATAGAAATGATGGTTTTCTGTCTAAAACTCGAATATTTGCTACTGCATGCCTGTGCATAATTCCCTACTGAGTTTCAGTTAATAAGACTAATTGGATGTGCTACGTCCACCATATTCTCAAAATAAGTTAATCCCTCCGCAAGAAACTAAGATTGGGATCAAACATACCTTCACTTTCAATAAATGAATCGCCTTTCTCATAATTGAGAACAATTTCATAAAGCCGCGCTTGCCAAACACTTCCAATATCCGGAAAAGAATGCTCACAGCTCTGGTGAGGCAATTCTTTTATTTCCTTGACAGAGGATTCGTTGCGCCTGAAATTCTTCACCACTTTCAAAAGCTCAGTAGTTCCAAGCAGAGCTTCGTGTGCTTTCAGCAAAAACGGTCTCACCTCCTTCAACAATGACGCGAAATTACAAAACTACACAGTACATAGATGTCTATGACACTACGGTATATGACACCCTAAAACTATCATTACCTGATGCCGTTGATCGGCGACTTTTTCCCGTTCATTGAGAGAGAGAGGCTTCTTTTCTTTGCGCTTCCGCTTTCTCGGTTCTAAGGATGTCTCGAGCTTCTCAGTAGAGTCGAAGAAACGAGTGTAGTAAGCATACGGGGAAACCTTATACCTCGTATAGGACCTGTTTAGGACCCGAACCGGATCGAGGAAGATGGCATTAGCACCTTGAAACCGATAGATGCCGGATTTCATGAATGATGAGAGCTGGCCGTCCTCCATGTCCACGAGACCACGACCAGTAATAATTCCTAAACAAAATAAACAAAAAAAAATATAGACAAAAATAAACAATTTTTTTTTTTTTCCTAAACAAAATAAACAAAAATATAGACGGGAGGAGTGGCGTTAATCTCACTTATTTCTTTTTTGTCTTATTCTTATTAGTTAGAGTGATTTACCTAAATAGGATTAAAACTTGGTAGAATTTCAAAAATAGGACTCCTATGTTTTATTTAACAAAAATAGGATTAAAAATAGGTAATCTGACAAAACTACCCTTAATTAAAAAACGGTTGCACACCAGCTACGCACGACAACCCCCATTGCTATTGCTCCAGAGCAGCTGCGATCCTTCCTCCCAACTAGTCTAATTCTCTCTTTCTCAGTTGTTCTAAGCTTCTCTGTCAGTTCTTTTTCGCTAGCACTAAGTCTCTTATTTTCAGTTGTGAGCTTAGTGATTGTTTTCTCTGAATTGATTATCTTAATGTTTGAGCATGTCTGTTTTTCACGCAGTTGATTATATACATCATACAATCTATTGTATTTCACCTCTAGCTCCTTAAATTTATCATGCATATCAGTTCTAGAGCAATTAGGAACAGATGGATTAGAGGTACTTACTTCATTATCAGCATTCCTGTTCTCAGCAGACAGGGCAGTCACTACATCAGCATTGGTTGCAGTAGGCAGGTTCTTCTTCTCCTCAGCTTTGTCTTTCTCTTCTTCTTCAACAACTGCCATCAAGGCCAGATTCTCTTCCTCATCAGAATCATCCATCCAATGATCTTTTTCCGCCATGAGGGCACTCTTCTCACTGCTTTCTTCCATTGCCAGCAACATCTTCTTCTTGTTCAGATTGATCTTCTGCTTGTAGTATTCAGCATCCTTCCTCCTCTTTGGCATCCTGCAATCCTTCATCAGATGTCCAGTCTTCCCACAATTGAAGCACTTTGGAGCATCCTCAGCATTTCCATTCTCGGACGAATCAAAAGATCGCTCTTTTCTTTTGTTGTTGCTGGAAGAGGACTTGCGGAGCCTGTTGTTTGAGGAGTTCTTCTTTTTCTGCATTTGATTGTTGAACCTGGAGGTAAGAAGGGCTATCTGCTTCTGGAAGTCACGAAGCTCATCATCATCAGAATCATCCCAAAATCCGATGTCACTGTGAGCACTTTCACTTTCATCAGCTATCATTTTATCTTTCTTGGAGCCAGACTTCGATGGCTTGTCAAGCATCAGGGCAAGGGTGTCAGCTAGCTTATCCACAGCTCCCTTTCCTTTATCAGCTGTCACGGTGGCAACCACAAAGTCAAAGAAATCTTCAGCATACTGGTCAAGTGTGTTGTACACTGCATGGATATCCATCTCATCCAGATCCTTTGTGTGCCTTATCTGTGAGCTCAGCTTCTTCCAGTCAGCTCCAAGAGAAGACAGAAATCTCACGTTCAGTTCCATATTCGACTTGTGCACGTCAATCTTTCTCATCTCATTTATCAACTGCAGGAATCTGAGGTAGGTGTCCTCAAGTGATTCTCCAAGCTTGGCTTTGAACGAGTCGTATGCAGTGAATGTGCTAGCTTTCTTTGCTTTTACTCCGATCTCAGTGCCTTGCATGATCTTGAAGATCTCATCCCACATCTCTTTTGCAGTTGACATGCTGTCAATCTGCATGTAGATGTCGTTTGGGATGGCTTGCAGAAGATAGGTCTTGGCAATGAGATCTGCACGGAGTCTTGCTCTGTCCTCGTCATCATATTCGTCTACCGTCTTTGGTCTCCATTCTATCTCAACAGGTGGATTGTTTCCATTGTCTCTCTCAACAGCTATCATCAATTGAGCAGGTCCATTTGTGATAGAGTCAAGAAGACCTGAGGATTGGTCCTTGCTCTCCAGAAAGTTCAGAAATCGGTTCTTCCACACATTGTACTCTCCTCTTCGTAGAATCGGGGGTCTCGTGTCGTTTCCAATTGATAACGCATCCATTTTAAATGATCGGGCTGATCAGTTGATTGATTAAGTCCTGTTTTGTTGTTTGGTACTTCAGGCAGTAGGTCTTTGCAAGTATAGAATCGCTCAAGTGTTGAAGGATCGCTCAACTTTACAAAGATCGCTCAACTTCTAAAAGATCGCTCAACTCTCAAAAGATCGCTCAACTTTACAAAGATCGCTCATCTTTACAAAAATCGCTCAACTCTCAAAAGATTGCTCAACTTTGCAAAGATCGCTCAACTTTATAAAGATCGCTCAAGTGTAAGATTGCTCAACTACAAATCTCTCAACCTGTAAAAATCGCTCAACATTCAAATCGCTCAAGTCCAAAATGGGGCAGCTTCTCAGATCGGGCGAGTCCAAAATGCGCAAATCAACGATCGCGCAGGTGTACTTGCGCGAAGTGAAGATCGCGCAGAAGACGTCGAGCGAAGTGCAAAATCGCGCAACAGTCAAATGAGGATGGCGCAAGTCCAAGTATCGCGCAGGATGTATTGCGTGAAACTCGAAATCGCGCAGGAGAATCGCTCAACCTGTTCTTCTTCTTCCAGACGTGTTGCACTAAACTGCAGGATCGCTCAAATCTGGCTTAACCTGTACGCCAAATTTCAGATCGAGATTTTTCACAGAAGTGATCCCAGCAAGCCTAGAAACACTTTCCTTCAAGCATTTTCCTGCAAAAATAACAACAAAAACATAACCAAAAATCGCTCAAGTGCAAAAACTTCAACGATGAAGAATCGCGCAGGAGCGTTTTTCAGCCTTCAATCGATCGATCAGCTCCGGCTCTGATACCAGATGTTAGGTCCCTGTTTACTAGTCTAGAATATAAGTGTATGGAAGATAGATCTATGATTTGAAGCTTTCCATTGTATGATGAAAAAGTTTACAGAATGATGAACAAAACTTAGCGTGAAACTTCTATCACCGATATAGGCACTGCGGCACAGAGAATGAGAATATCTGAAAAGCTTAACCTAGCCTTTCCCTTAAGGCATATATATAGTCTGACGCGAAAGGTAGGTTTTACAATCATTTGGGCTCCTTTTTCTAGGAGGCCCATACCTAAAAAGGCATGAAAGCCTTTATTACAAATTGCCTTAAAAGGCCTATTCATTATTCTAGCTAGTCTATTTATTTATTTGAACTAACTACAAAAGCATAAGTAACATTGATCACAATACAATGAAAATATCTCTAACAGACATTCTCATATCATACAAGTGACAGTTTACTGAATAAATACAATTCAAACCTAAAAAATCCAAAATAATAAAAATCCAAAAAATTTAAAGAAGAAGAGAACAGAGGACCAACAATTTGAAGAGCATTAGAAGAAGGAGAAGGAGAAGGAGAAGGAGAAGGAGAAGGAGAAGGAGAAGGAGACATGTGGTCGATGGTGGAGCTGCTGTCAAGGGAGTTCTGGAGTTGATGCTGCTACGATGAATTCTATCGTAGATTGCAGAAGAAGCCAACGATGTGCTGCGGCCTGCGGATGTGTGTGGCCAGTGACGAATTGCAGAAGGTGGGCGAGAGATTGGGGTTTTAATTGCAGAAGGGCAAAAGTGTAATCTGGAGTCCCATTTAGGCAATTTAAAACTTGAAGACCTATTTTGGAGTTTTAACCATGTTTTAGTCCCATTTAGTATAATTTCTTTATTAGTTATTGCTTATTCTTATTTTATTCACATCAGATCAGAAAGATTCAGATCAGATCAGAAACATTCAGATCAGGTCAGAAAAGTTCAAACATGATTTATCACTTTTATTATTATAATAATTATTATAATTATTTTATTATAATTAATAATAATATATTAATAATAATATTATGTTAATATAATTATATATTTATAATATAATAATATAATAATATAATAATACTAATATAATAATAATAATAATATAATAATAATATAATAAAAATATAATAATAATAATAATAATAATAGTATAATAATAATAATATAATATTATTATTAGTATTATTATTTATTATTATTATATTATTGATGGAGTATATGGACTCCGACCCCCCGGTATGCCGACTACTGGGCCTGGACAGCGGCCCACACACGTTTAGCGGATTCATATTAGGGAAAAGGGGCAAAAAGCCCCCTGATGTTGCCAACAAAGTGCATCTATGCCCTTATACTATTTTTTTGGGCAAAAACCTTTAAAATCTCTTAATTGAAGGGCAATCACCCCTTTAACTAACAGAATCAATTTAATAGAAGTGACAAACGTTAAACTTACTTCTTTGGATGCTATGGACCGTAGATACAACAGATATGCAGTAGCTTTGATATTGTTCTTTTTAACTTCAGTTTGTGCTCTATTAAATAAGTCTACAAAACTTTAATTCTAAAATCAACACATATATTCATCCATAAGAACATTCGTTGGCCCCAAAAAACAAATACCACCTTTATCATAAAAAAGAGAACTTCTGTCAGCCCCAAAAAACAAATACCACCTTTATGAAAAAGAGTATTATAAGTATGTTCTAAATCATCTCGGGAATAATGATTGATACAAAACTATAGCATCAATATGCTCAGTTGGTGCAAAAGAAATAATCCAGCCTTTAAAACTACATTATCCGTGGAAAATGTCTCCCCATCCAGCATGCTCGTTGGCAATTATATCTCGTTGTGTTTCAAGTTGTCTTGATGTAATTGCCGGATTTCCTCCCCAATTCAAACCAGAAGGCTGAAAAGGTAGTGATGATGGTTCCCTAACGTCATATCCATCTCCATAAAATCGAATATTCCTTGTGATTTCACTTGCTCTTTTAAAAGGGATTTTTTTTCGTAATGTTCTTTCACACGGTATCGCCATTTTGGTCTGAGCATCAGGATCGATCTCCATTTGTGACGAACCACCTACAGTAATTCTCTCGGATTCCATTCCAGGCTGCAAAATAAATGAAAGCAATAGATAGAATATTTAGGTATAGCACACAAAAAGTTCAAAAAATCACAAGTCCAATTATTAATTATGATAGTAGATTACATTGAGCACCGTTCTGCCCATATTTTCATCCACAAAACAGCCATATCCCATTGATTCCACTGGTGTGTAAGAACTAGGTATGCTCAAAGATTCACTTGCATTTGCAGAAGAGGTCGCATGATGACCCTTAGGGCTGAAACTACAGATACGGATTTAGGCTTAACAGATGCAGGTTTGGTTGAACTATATGCAGTCCTAGTTCTTTGAGGTTCATTCCGGTCTATTTTGAATTTAATCCCCGCTGCAACAGAGTAGTTAGCTATAGCACTTCTAGCTTCTTTTGCATTACCAAATGTCATACCTAGCTTAAAATGTATTTCTCCTCTTTCTTGCACCCCATCACTATTTCTGTCATTGAGAATTTCATTACCTTCTGCAGAGCCTTCTTCCCCCCAGTTTGCTCATCATCACTTTGCTCATCATCACTGAGTTCTTGCAAATCACTTTCATTATCATCTTCTATATCACTAACATACCCGGTTGGAACATGACTATAGGTGCAATCCAGTTCATCCAACTCCATTCTGTGACAAGTATTTAAAAAATCACTATAAATACCTACTTTGGAATTAGAAGAAAAAAACTACAGAAAATCAGTAAGCAGAATTATTATTATACTTCTTCGTGCTTAACACTTTAACAATTTCCAAACTTTAAAACATAACAGTTTGTTTAGGTATATAAGGCTTTAAAACTTTAATAAATCTTGCAACTTATTTTTGCAAGAGGGTAGCTAATTTTTCAGCTACTCAAATTTTAATTCAGAATATCAATTTGATACCTTAATAACTGCAAAAACTTCAGTGCAGTGAATAAAGACACTAGAGAGCAATTAAGAATAAAAATAAGTTGAATACCTAAGTTCTATTGCATAATACCTAAGTTCTATTGAGAATACTTAAGAAAAGAAGTATAAATTAAATTATCACAACTTATTGAATACCTAAGTTCCACTAACTCTAATTGCCAAAAATTCCACTAACTACCATTGGCTCTAAGTTATATACAGAGTACTACGTGGAAACAAGGAGATGGTGAAATCTAAACTAAACCTATATAAACAAATACAATACGGTAGCTTAAAAGGAAAAGAAGATGATGGGCTTGATCGAACCTGAGATTTCTTTCGAAAAAAATTGCAAGATGTTCTCACAACATTTAATGGAGTAAAGAGGGAATATTCAACTGAGTCATGTTGAGAGAGGAGGGAGGCGACTTCAGCGTGAAGTGCAGAGAGATGAATTGAAGGGATTTGGAAGCTGTTCTCTTCACCTGATCTGAATGTTTTTTATCTGAATTTTTTAAGTTATGATCTGATCTGATCTGATCTGAATTTTTCTGATCTGATCTGATCTGATCTGAATGTTCCTGATCTGATCTGAATGTTTCTGATCTGATCTGAATCCTTCTGATCTGATCTGATCTGATCTGATTTGAATATTTCTAAAATTATAATTACAATTATAATTACTATAATTATAAATGTAATTACACATATATAATTTAAATATAATTATAATTACAATCATAATTATAAATTTTTTAATTATAATTACAAACATAATTATAATAGGTATAATTATTATTATACGTATTACACTAGTTATAAATATAACTATTGTTGAGGTTTATTCCTTCAACCCTTGGACCCAACACGTAAGCCCAAAGATTTCGAGTGGAGTGTGTGGATATCTAGCCCAACAACTTTCAGATGGATCAGGAAACAAGAGAAATAGCAGGCAATGTAAATAGGTATTATTAACTCCGTAATAACTCCCCTAAGTACAATCTACTTGCTAAAAAAGGCACGTCGGCCGTTCGTCTTACAAGGCACTTAGAAATGCTGCAAGTAAGAATGCTGAAGCTAGTACGCTAAGAATAGAAAGTTGCCAACCCCTTACAATGAAATAAATGCTACTATTTATACCCGCCAATGGGCAGTTAGTCTTGATGATGTGGAGGATTGTTAGTGGCTGTGGCCCAACCACCAAATCTCCAGCATTAAATGCGCTTCCCGCCAGAATCTGGGTTCCCCGCCTAATTCCTGACCACGATCGTCTGGTAGAACCGGGGGCCGTTCGTCTGCGGCCCTTCCTGAGAACGTAACAATCTTTTGGGGCCTGGGCCATCTACAGAGATGGGCCTCGTCTGACGACGTTCGTCACGGATGTGCTAACCGACCCTCGGCCGGGACCTTGCGCTGTTACCCCCGGAGATAGACATTCGTCCCCATTCCTTCAGGCCAGGGCCATCCGCGGGCTGGGCGACGTACGTCGGTTCGGGGGTAATTGGGCCGGACTCCTGTTCGGGGCTATTTACCCAACACAAGTCCCCCACTTCTGATGTTCCAAGCGTGCGTGGGACATAAGGAAGTATGCTGTGCCTCCTGGAGGATGCCCGTCTTCCGTACTTGTCCACGGGGAGCTGGACGTACCTGATCGAAGGGCACCCCGAGTTGGGCGACCGCGGGTGGATCGAGGTGGCGGCTAGCGGCGAGACGGTGCGACTCCCGATGGGAAGTCATCATTACGCGTATCGCTTCCCCAGGTTGGATTCCCGCCAGGGTACGCTCCACGCCACGTGTCGCTTCTTCATTCGTCCCCCCGGGGGTGCCTCCACTATAAATACCAGAGATCCCCTGATGTCTAGGGTTTCCGATTTCTGGCTTTTGCTTTCGAGTTCTCTTGCCGCCCTTCGAGTTTTTCATCGCAGCTTCCCGAGTCCATCTTCCAGTTTTTTAAAGGTAATTATTCCTCTTCATCCTTGCCCTTTCTTTTAGTGATGACTTCGATGGAGATCTCTTCAAGTTCGAGTTCTGGTTCTTCGGTCTCCGGCTCTGATTCCTCCTCCAATTCTGGCTCCCGTTCCTCCGGAAAAACCAGTGTTTCCGGCAACCCAGGTTCGGCGTCCACCGTAGGGACCATCCATGTCGATGGTGAGCAAGGCGCCGACATTCCCGAAGGTGCCATCGAGGCAGTGCCCCTGAATGAACGTGCGGCCGGGTATGATTCCGCAGATGAGGCTCAATCTGGCTCTGATCTGGAGGTGCACGACTTAGGTATCCCCATGGACGTGCAGAGGCACATCTGCAAGATTAAGAGTGTTTTAGAGCACCGACAGTCCCTCTCTAGCGTTGCCATGAACAAGATTGCTTCCTTCTTCCCCCATCCGTTCGTCTTTAGCCATAGCGGGGCTGAACATGCCATGCGGCGACGGGCGGGGATGATCATCCTGCATGTGGATTCCGTAGAGGCCGGTCTGCGGTTTCCCCTCCACCCCTTTTACGTGGAGTTCTTCAACTGCTACCAGGCAGTCCCGGCGCAGTTCATGCCCAACTCCTATAGGTTTATCTCCGCATTCCTCGTGCGCTGCTCGTCCGCGGAAGCCGATGTTTCCCTGGATCTGTTTCACTACTTTTACCGGGTTACCCCGCAGAATTCCGACGGTTATCTGAGTGTGGCCGCTCGTCCGAAGAGGAAGCTGTTCGAGCACTATCCTTCCTCCATCCATGATTGGAAAAATAGGCTCTTCTTCCTCAGATATGATGGTCCTCCCCTCCCAATCCGCTGGAATGGTTACCCCCCGAAGATTGAGTCGCCGGTGCTGACGGACGAGCTGGAGGCGGAAGTTAACAAAGTCCTGGAAGGCGGCATTCGCCCCATAGGAGAATACCTGACCCCCGAGGCACTCTCTGAAGCAGGCATAGGTACCGCCCGTGCTCCTGGATTCCTTCCCCCCTTGGACGCTCGTCTCGGGGCACGGGCGGTCCTGTCCTCTGAGGTGGGTGTTCCTCCCTTATCTCTGTTCGTCTTTTCATATCCTTGTATTTCTCTCTTGCAGGTCTTCCTCTTACCGCCGACCGAATGGACAACGCCGAGTGCCTGAGGAACAGGAAGGCGAAGATGGCCGCGGCAAAAGCGGCCAGGGAGGCCGCCGCCCAGTCTCGCCCCCTCTTCGGCTTCTTCTCTGGGGCCCTCTCGCCCAGTCTCGCCCCCTCTTCCCACAGACGGCGCCAGTGTTGAGGTTTATTCCTTCAACCCTTGGACCCAACACGTAAGCCCAAAGATTTCGAGTGGAGTGTGTGGATATCTAGCCCAACAACTTTCAGATGGATCAGGAAACAAGAGAAATAGCAGGCAATGTAAATAGGTATTATTAACTCCGTAATAACTCCCCTAAGTACAATCTACTTGCTAAAAAAGGCACGTCGGCCGTTCGTCTTACAAGGCACTTAGAAATGCTGCAAGTAAGAATGCTGAAGCTAGTACGCTAAGAATAGAAAGTTGCCAACCCCTTACAATGAAATAAATGCTACTATTTATACCCGCCAATGGGCAGTTAGTCTTGATGATGTGGAGGATTGTTAGTGGCTGTGGCCCAACCACCAAATCTCCAGCATTAAATGCGCTTCCCGCCAGAATCTGGGTTCCCCGCCTAATTCCTGACCACGATCGTCTGGTAGAACCGGGGGCCGTTCGTCTGCGGCCCTTCCTGAGAACGTAACAATCTTTTGGGGCCTGGGCCATCTACGGAGATGGGCCTCGTCTGACGACGTTCGTCACGGATGTGCTAACCGACCCTCGGCCGGGACCTTGCGCTGTTACCCCCGGAGATAGACATTCGTCCCCATTCCTTCAGGCCAGGGCCATCCGCGGGCTGGGCGACGTACGTCGGTTCGGGGGTAATTGGGCCGGACTCCTGTTCGGGGCTATTTACCCAACAACTATAATTATAATTGTAATTATATTTATAGTTATATTTATTTCTATAATTATAATTTTAATTATAATTATAATATTTATTTCTATAATTTTAATTGTAATTACTCCGTATAATATGATAATAACGAAAACAAAACTAATAACAATAACAACAACAACCATATTAGTAGTAAGAATAATAATCATGATAATAATAAATATAATAATAATAATAATAATAATAATAATAATAATAATAATAATTATAATAATTACAATAACAACAACAACAATAATAATAATTATAATTATTATAATTATTATAATTATTATAAATATTATTATAATTATTATTATAATAAAAAGTATAAATCATGTTTGAACTTTTCTGATCTGATATGAATGTTCCTGATCTGATCTGAATGTTCCTGATCTGATCTGAATGTTCCTGATCTGATCTGAATGATTCTGATCTGATCTGAATCTTTCTGATCTGATCTGATCTGATCTGATCTGATCTGAATTTTTCTGATCTGATCTGATCTGAATAAAATAAGAATAAGCAATAAGTAATAAGATTAAGACGAACAGAACAGCTTCTTGGTCTGTGAAGGAAATCGGCGGTATTGAATTTAGGGTATCCAACAAATTTTTTTTTGACAAATTTCTCCCACTTTTTTATTAATTTATGTTTGGAGTCCACGCCACAAACATATTACCTATTCTCCGTTACACAAGGATGATTGCCGTCCATTTCAAAGGTTTTTGCCCCAAAAAATAGTATAAGGGCATAGATGCACTTTGTTGGTAACATCAGGGGTGTTTTTGCCCCTTTTCCCTTCATATTATTATACATTATTATTCAAATGTTCTAGATTAGCTTTTTATATTATCAGTCCATTTATGTAACCGAGTCTGTCAGGCCCGTATTAGAGGTCCAAACCCGGATTTTCCCTATATATACTCCTTATAGGAGGCTTGTAAACTGACAACTCAAGAACTCATAGTTAATACACAATACACATTTTCTTCTTCTTCTCCATTACTCTTTTTTATTCTTGTTCAATCTCTCTTAGTTATGGGATATGGGTATCAATTATCCAACAATGGTGCTTTCATTGAGAGGTTGAACAGAATCAAGTGAGAAAATCTCCCCAAAATACCAAAAATTTCATACCAGTCTTGAAAAAATTCAACCAAAAAAATTCATTCTGAAAAAAAAGGATGTTGGAAGCACCCAGATCCAGAGAGAATCGGAAGAAGCAGCCATGGCCCAACCAGCCCGGCGGCGACGCTACACCAAGCCGGAGGTGGAGTGCGAGCTCCGACCTGCCTCGAGCTTCACCACCCCAGCCACGACCTATTCATCAAGCCGGATCACCGGCGGTCGTCCTAGCAGTGGACTCATCCACCTCATCGGTTGGTAGGCCTTTTCTCTGCTTCTGTCTTAGTTCCACCAAGAGCCTAGCAAGCTTCCGCCATTAATGGCCGTCCAGAGCTTGGCCCACAACTCGAGCAGTTGCAACATCGGAAGGTTCAACCGGTGGACACTCCTCCTGGCTGGTTGCGTTTTGGACCCTAACCTCTGTCAACGCAAACGGATTTTTCCGGCTGAGAGTCCTTGATGTCCGCCATTAGTGGTCAGTCAACCGCCCACCGGAGATAAGTTTTTCCGACCGCCCTTGCTCCGCTACAGCAAACATCCCCACCATCACTAAGCGGCATGTACTGTTGCTGTGGGTTGGCGATGTGATCTTTCATCTGCCTCTCAACAAGATGCTCCTCATTTGGTTCTAAGAAGACCACGTCCTCTAGATGGATTGAGGCCAAGTAAATGATGGCCAATTTCCTTGGAGAAGAATTGACCAAGTCAAAATTGGCAAGGGGAGACCACGCCTGATTCCACAGTTTCTGCTGGCGGAAGTTTTATCTCCAAAAAGCTAAGTAGCTAAAACTCCATTCTCTTAATTATCTTTTGTCATTGCCCCTGATCTACCCACCTTCATCCAAACCTCTTACCGCCAGTGGTAATGCAGAGATTGACGTCACACCAGATGCTAGGTCCCGCTGCAAATCAGCGACCCAGAGAGCCCAACGTGAGCTCCGTTACCTTCGAGCCCCGCTCTTGGTTGCTCGCAACTATTCTGCACCATCCACCATTAATGGCTACCTTGGAACTTTGCTTATACTCAAGACCTTACTGTAGAAATGGCCGTCAGGATGTCCTTTCACCCTTCACTCCTCCGGCGGCAACGGCAGAGCTATCTCTCAAACTTTGCATGTTGGCGATCTCGTTCGCAGAAGCCAGAAGGGTTTGGTCGGTTGGTGTATGGATTTTAGTTGACCCACTAAATTAATTCACATTTGTGATATGTGGCCTAGAAGGATCCATACATGGATCACTACAAGAATCTTGACATAATGTGACAGTTTTTTTCGTCATGTAAACTTCTTTTTTTGTCACTAAAGCTTTTTTATGACGGATTTTGAGCGTCACAGTGATCGTCACCGCAGCTCCGTGGTATTAGGTATATGTGACACATTTTTGATTCGTCACCAAATAAATAACATTTAATGACGTTTTAGCATTTCGTCACAATTATTAATCACTTTTCGTGACGCCAAATGTGTCACGTTTATATCGATTTTTTTGTCATCTAAATATGTATTTTGTCACCAATAATTCATACAATAAATGACAAAATTTTGAATTGTCAACAAAACATAACATATAGTGACAATCCCCGAGAGATTTTCTAGATTTTGACTTGTGACAATGACAAAATCGTCATAAATAAGTAACTTACATTTTGTCATATTTATGCATATTCATCATTAATTAGAATTACTTTAGTTACAACTTTTTCCGTCATTTATAAACTATTTATGATGACCATATAATTACATTTATTTGTCACCATTCAAAATATGTCAGGTGTTTAGTCATTTTTATGACCTTTGACAGACTTTTATGTAAAGTAGACAAAAGGATATTGTGCTGAAATGTAAATATCAATAAAGTAATATATCCAATGCTAAAAAATTGTACTTTATGCCAAAACTAAACTACTGAATTAAAAATTTAACATTCATCCACAAATATATAAAATAACTAAAACAAATGACTAGTTAAATAACTTATAATTATACTACAAGTAGAGATTACAAATCCCTTCATTTAGTACTCATATTGCTGACTTTCTCCACTTTGAAGCTTGATGAGGTAATTGACTTCTCAGCTTTAATGCCTCTTTTACATTATCTTCGACTTGAATCTCAAATTCATCAACTTGTTCACACCTCTACCGCTTTCTCTAGTAACTCGTAACTTTTTTAGGACCACTCTTGTAATCCACAATGCTCATTTTAGTGAACATGGCTGCCAAACAGGTTCTAAGAGCCTCAAAGTTACTGGACTCGTTAGTGAAACCTAAAAGTTCAAAAGTTTAGCAAGAAAAGCAACAAACCTAACATGAATTCAAGCATAACTGCTCCTTATCCCGAAAAGCATAAACCTAGCTCCAAACTGCTTATTAACATCCTGCAATGAACAATTATGAATTATACATATTAATAGGCATGTCAAGTAATGAAAAAAATAGAAAAAATGCAGATAGTGACTAAACATATTACAAGGCCACTGGGCTACCTAGCTAGAGTAAAATGTACAGATACTGTAAAAAAATAATTTGATCAAAACCTACTCAAAATGCAAAGATAATGTGTGTACCGTTTATATATTATGCTATTAAATCACATACTCAAAGAACATATATAATAAAACTCATTGGAATGGAGAAGTTACCAACTTACATTGATTGAGAGCATTCAATAACTTCTTAATACCAGTGTAATATTTCAAGAGTACAGTAGTTTATGAGCTGCTCTTCTTACCTTATTCCTTATATTCCTCTCATACTATTACTGCAAAATGAACGAAAGGGGAAGGTTTATACTATCGAACAATGAAAATATTTCAACAAATAAAAGACATAAAATGGATCTTCCACTTGTTCACTAATAATTTTAATTCTACCTTCATGCATTAATCCTTATGTTTCCAAGTGAGTATAACGACCCTACATATAAAATCCTCCACAGCTATTCACTTTCATGTACTCACGCCTAGATACGAATAATGTTAGCAACTTAGCACAGTACTTTACATGATACAATAGACTTCATAGTTCTAGAATCTTGTTCTCAAAATGTACGACTCTTTCTCCTCTTCATGTGATATCTACATCTCTGTACGTCTCTTTCTCCTCTTCAAGTTCTAGAATCTTCTTCTTCTTCTTCTTGATCAGGTCCATCAATTTTTAGATCGAGACATTCATATTCATTTAGGCAAAACTTTACACAAGCAGAAGGAGACAATAGCACACAACTCAACCATTATTTAGTAGAACTTATCTGTTCTTTTTTGTTTAAATGTAGTGTTTTAAGCATTGTGCTTAATTTTAACACACCAAAGCTGAAAAGCACGCTTCTCTGTTTAAAAAAAGTCGGCTAAGTTATTGCCTAAGTATAAAAGAATGAACTAAGCAAGGTGTTGAGTTAGGTCCAAATTTTCTTTACACCCTATGGTACAAACGAATTGTATACCTGTACTTCACCAGATGAAGCAGCTCCTCCTTTGACACAAATTCCTGTAGGCGCAGATTATTATAGATAAACTTTAGGCATATCAATGTGAATATATCTGGATTATTTTAGATCGATTCAATTTGGGCAGATCATATCAACGAATTACAGATTACAAGAAACAGTTGTACATATGTTAAATTGAAGGAATTTTCAACATATTATTGTAAAGGAATGAAGTGTAAAATAATCTACCTGGAGAACTTGTGAGGCCTTCTTTGCCTGACCAACGAATTTCTGGAAACACTTTCTTCAATTCCTTAATCATTCGACGTCCGAGCGCTGCTTCAGATTCTTTCCGTCGCAAAGTATACGACTCTGCTAACCCAATTGCTTACCTTCCCAGACATGCTTCTCAGATATACTATACGGCGCTACTTTCATGCTATTTTCCTTCGCAGACGATGGTTCTCGCTTCTCAGATAAACGACATCGCAGATGGCCGGGCTTAGAGTAAAAGAGTTCTTTGGGAAAAACTAATTAGCGGGGGAGTTGACTTAGGGTTAATTTAGCGAGGGGGTGATACCGAGCAGCGGCAAAGAGTTTTTTTTTTCAATTCTACGGAGTAATTAGGAAAGGGAAACCTGAACCGTTAGCGAGGGAGTTAATTAGGATGTTCTTAGAGCGAAAATTTTAAAATGCACGTTACATGCTCCTTATGGAGCACGTAGTCCGTACAATTGACACTGGCTCCCACCTAAAAGACTTAAAAATGATTAATGACATCATTAAATTAAGTTTTATTATTAAATGAAAACAGAGTTACCCTAATAAAAATAGGATCTTTCATTCGTACGTATGCATCGGAAAACATATTTGCAGGCTATTCGGTAGAGAAGCTTTCATTCTTCTTCTTAGAAACAAATAACATGGATAAAGTAGGTATGAATCCAATCACGACTAACATGATTAATCCCAATCTTATACATATTTCTTATGACAATTTTGATATGCTTGCAGTAGAATTTACATATATTATTTATCCAACCGTCTTCTACAGAGACGTAGGAGCACATCGAAGGTAATCCATGGACAACGACAACGTAATACCTGCAGATGTAGGTAATATCAGTATTTCATCACCGCATATACAAAATAATGAAGGTTCTTCATCTTGAGTACACTTCAATTAATGCGTTAATCTACTATATTTTTTGTTTATATTTGTTGTTGCGTATACCAGACCAAAAATCCTCTTTCTAATCTTTTACCTAAGTTGTAACACTAAAATTATTTGTTCATGTAATTCTTTAACTTCAATTAACATCTACACAGTTGTTAAAAAAACTACACCTTAGTGCAGGTGTAAAAAAAACTACACCTTAGTGTAGTAATCGCTTTTAGAACATATTGTATGCCTAATAATGGTAGGTGTTGGTGATAAAATTTAATGAAAAAAATATGGAAGTCTGTTTCGATGTTTTTATTGGACTAATATTTTCAAAAAAACATCTACTCTGGTATTATATTTTTTGCTAATTAAGTCTGATATGATTTTGTAAACGTATTGTGTTTATGTATTTTACTATTATCAATGTCCAGTGTGATTTGATCCGTTTACATTTTGTCTAATTTGATATGATTAGTCTGCAATTGAAACTAATCCAATTAAAAACATCCCTACTTTCACTTATAATTCAAGATTCTCTGTAATTTAATTTTTTTCGCAGATCTTTTCTTTGAGGAGACGCCTAAATTAGGCCAAGAGTTTCATTCGCTAGATGATGCTCAGGTTTTTTATAATGCATATGCAAAGTTGCTTGGGTTTGGTACTAAAATAAAAAACTCAACTGTTAACAAAGCTGGAGTCATAACATGGAGAGCCTTTACATGCTCTAAAGAAGGCTGGACAAATGTGTCTTTGCGGAAGACTAATAAAATTGTCTTTGAAAGAAATAGGGGCCACTCTAGGTGTGGGTGTCCTGCTAAGATGCATGTTTCGAGGAATCGACAAAGCAATTTATGGACCGTGACAGGATTTGAGAAGATCCATAATCATGACCTTGTTAGTCCGAGTAAGATACATTTGATTCGTTCTCACCGAGAAGTGTCATCTTCGAAGAGAATATTGATGAATGAGTGGGGAGATGCAAATATTGAGACACATACTCAAATTCGATTGTTGGAGAACGAAGCTGGAGGTCTATCTACGATGGGTTGCACAGAGACTGATATATATAATTACAGTGCATCATTGAAATCCAAATTTAATGGGATTGATGTGAAAACAATGATTCATGGATTTCAGACTGAAAAGCAAAGGAATTGTGACTTTGTTTACAATTATGAAATTGATAGTCAAAAGGTTCTTACTAGATGCTTTTGGGCCGATAGTGATAGTAGGAATGCATACTTATTTTTCGGTGAAGTGGTTGTATTTGATACAACATTCAATACAAACAAGTATGGCTTCTATCTTGCTCCCATCGTTGGTGTTAATCATCATCGTCAAACTACTGTTTTCGGTTGTGGTCTGCTAAGTGATCAGTCGACAGAGTCATTTTCTTGGCTACTATCAAAATTCTTGGAAGCTATGGGTCATAGACCCCATCCAAAAGTAATAATAACTGATCAAGATGCCGCTATAGCTCGAGCAGTGGGTAATGTTTTTCCAAATGTATCGCATCATCATTGTTTGTGGCACATACTTAAAAAATTCCCAGAAAAGATGAATGTCTCTAGCTCATCTTATACTGAACTCCATAAAGATTTAGTGGATATTATAATGAGTTCAGAGAGCACAAGTGATTTTGAGCAACAGTGGACTGCCAAACTCTTGTTGCCAGAGTTGAATGATAATAATTGGCTTGCTGATATATATGAAATTCGAGCAAAATGGGTCCCTTGTTTTGTGAAACATATTTTTTGTGCGGGAATGCTAAGTAGTCAGCGTGTCGAAAGCACACATGCTTTTTTTAAAAAGTATGTTAACAAGAAGTGCACCTTGAGCCAGTGTGTGACACGTATTACTCGGGCTATTGTGAGACAGAGGCATAGAGAGCTTATTGCTGATCACCGCGACCGTAATGAAGTTCCTCAGATAAATTCAAGCTATTTAATGGAACGACAAATGGCGAAAATATACACAAAGGCAATATTTTGTAAGTTCCAGAAAGAATTCGACAAGTGTGCTCTTTACACTTCTCACAACAGATTCAGCCCACTTTTAAAAGATAAGTACTCTTTAATTTTTAATTTTTATATTATTTATATTTATTTAAATCACTTTTTGTCGGGCGAATGTCGCACTATCACGCACTTATGATCAAATGCCTAGTAGAGTGTGGCTTGAGACCCATCACTAGGATTTAAAACCCTAACCAAGATCAGGCACAAAGCCCCGACCAAGTCGGGCGTGAAGACAAAGCCCCGACCAAGTCGGACATGAAGACCGGTCTTAGTCATTCCTCGAGTGGCGACCGTTGCTTAAGAATGACTCACACATCCATTCTACTAAGTATTTTATCATTACATTAACAATTCACATCTCCACTTGTTTCAAGTGACGAACTCCCGATCGGAAGCATAAATCCCAAGAAAAAAAATTATATGTATGTTAAATGTGTAGGTACAAAGATGACTTTACTCATTTTCACCTCATCTCCACACTCCTCAAGGAGTGCGGGACTGGGGGACTGAGAGGTCAAAGTTTCTAGATGAGCAGAAAATATTACGCATGAGCAGGAACGAGAGCTGAGTCAGTTGAAGAGGAGCTGAGCTAGATTGATTATGCCGGAGGGGACTTACCTTCCTTGTTTCATGTTGGGGGCGCTAGGTGTACTCTTTTTCCCTTTATTAGGATTTTTCCCATTGAGTTTTTTCCTAGTAAAGGTTTTTAACGAGGCACCTCCCCATCATTGACAAGGGTGGTGGTCCCCCGGCCAAAGAGGAAGAAACCGAAGACAGAAGAACATTGCAGATACAATTTGGACTACTCCCTTTCGCCTCGAGTACTCTCGACGCAGGGAGTGGGGGACTCCGGATGGAGTATATGGACTCCGACCCCCCGTTATGCCGACTACTGGGCCTGGACAGCGGCCCACACACGTTTGACGGATTCATATTATTGTACATTATTATTCAAATGTTCTAGATTAGCTTTTTATACTATCAGTCCATTTATGTAACCGGGTCTGTCAGGACCGTATTAGAGGCCCAGACCTGGATTTTCCCTAGATATACTCCTTATAGGAGGCTTGTAAACTGACAACTCAAGAACTCATAGTTAATACACAATACACATTTTCTTCTTCTTCTCCATTACTCTTTTTTATTCTTGTTCAATCTTTCTTAGTTATGGGATATGGGTATCAATTATCCAACAATTATTATTATATAATTATAATTATAATTATTAATATTACTATTATTATTGTTGTTGTTGTTGATTATTATTATCATGCGGAGTAATTCTAATTATAATTATAATTATAGAAATAAATATAATAATTATACTTACAATTATAATTATATAAGTAATTATGATTTTATAATTAAAAATATAATTACAATTATAATTATATCTATAGTTATAATTAGTGTAATAGGTATAATTATTATAATTTTGAATTTAAGTTTAATTATTATTATATTTTTTATATTCACGATTATGATTGTAATTTTATTTAAATTATATTTGTAATTAAAATTATATTTATAATAATTATAATTATAATTATAAAAATATTCAAATCAGATCAGATCAGAAAGATTCAGATCAGATCAGAAGGATTCAGATCAGATCAGAAACATTCAAATCAGATCAGAAGGATTCAGATCAGATCAGAAACATTCAGATCAGATCAGACCAGATCATAAAGATTCAGATCAGATCGGATTAGATTAGATCAGAAAAATTCAGATCAGATCAGAACTTAAAAAAATCAGATCAGAAACATTGAGATCAGGTGAAGAGAACAGCTTCTTAGTCACTTGTGCCTAATGTTTGCAATTTTGGTATCTTCATTAAATTTATCTTAATTATACATATTAATTATACATAAATGTTTTGAATTAAAATTTATTCAAATCTTTAACCAAAGAATCACACGTGATGACCAAAATTCTATGCGTAAAGTCTATTTCACCTTAATTTTGTTCATATGATCACTATAGGATGACTATATACATGAAAGTTTTATCGTCATGGGGGATTTTTTTGGTCGAAAGTTTGAATAAAATTGCAATTCGAAACATTTATGTATACTTAAGGTACCGTTTTGATTCATTTAAGAGTTAAGGTGCCAAAATGTAACATTACCAATAGTTAAGGTGTCATTTATGCATTTGACCCCACTTGAGTGATTATTTTTTTAGGTAAATTATGTTTTCTCATAGTGTTGTGTTAAATGTCAACATTTTGGATCTGTTTCGAACATGTGATCTCCTCTTAGAGCATCTCCAATGCAAGGGTGCATTGGAGTTCCAGATCAGCAAATGCACTTTGTTTAACCAAATTTACTATTTAAAAAAAACAAATTTACTCTCCAGTGCTAATACTAATGGACCTTCAGATCTGATGTGGCAATAGCTAGACAATGTCCAGCACCCCTTCTACTTCTAGACCTTCGGTCTCACCACTTGACAACAAAAAAGTTGGTTTGCTCCAACCGCATGAACAATTACTTTTCTCTTGCATCGATTATCATTTTTTATTATTATTCTTCCTTCTTGCATTGGAGTACAAACCCAATGGACTAGGGTCCTTTTGTTATTTTTTGATCTAGACCTTCTCCATTTCTTTACCACATCAGCACCAATGCACAACCACATTGGAGATGCTCTTAGAGTGTCACGGTGATGTATCGAATTACAAAGTGTTTGGCCACTTGAGTGTGAATTTATTTATATCCATCTACTTTAGCATATTTAGATAATAATTAGATAATCCTCTCCTTAATAGCACTACAACACCATAAACCAAGATCCCGCCCAAACCAATCTCATATGACATCCGTCCGATTTTTACACCTAAAAATCAACGCCTCGTGATCATTTATGTCAAATCGGACATTTGCACTAAAACCCGGTCATTTTCTCTTCGCCTGAATGAATTCATGAAGTCCTGGGATTGTATGCACCTCCACCGCAGCTTCCAATCCAACTGATTTCAGATTCATTCTTCTTCCTTCTGTTATTTTCACCTATCCATACCGTCCATGTCTTTCATGAACCAGGTAATTAGAATCCATCGGAGTTGAAAAACTTGGAATCCCGCTACAAAGAATAATATGGTTGCTCTCGGTTTCAACAGATTACCTGTAATCAGACTCTTCAAGGTCAATTGATTCTTCTTTACTCCTTTACTCGAATTTAATTTTTTATAATTCACTATTGAGCTGATTTTTTTTTACCCCAAATGCACATCATCTCAACGACTCAAATACATGACCATCTTCTGCTACGAATTCAACCGAAAAATTAAGATCTTTGTAGATTCATATGCAATATTCATTCTTTATTTAATTATTCATCACATGAAATTATAATAAATGATTCCTTTTTATAGCCTGGTTTGATTAGTTTTGTCAATATTGGTATTTAAACCATAGACACAATCAATTACATTATGAATACTCTTTGAGAAAATAAATTTACCGCATGTATCGCACAGACTTTTTGCTGGTGTGTGTATTTGAAGTTATTTCACTTGGCATTTCCTATTCAATAAACATATTAACTCATTCTGGGAAACTGAGTATTAACTGATGAAACTGAGTTTAGAATAATCAGTAATATACTACTAATATAGTTCATTCTGGAATTTCAGAAAAAGTTTAGGATGATTATCATCCTAAGACATTATCAATCACATTATGATTATTCTTCCAGAAAATAACTTTATCACATGTATTACATGGGCATTGTGCAGGTGTGCCTCTTTGAAATTATTTTATTTGACATTTTCTATTCAATAAAGATATTGCGAAACTAAGTAGTAACTGATGAATGAAACTGAGTTTTGATTAGTAAGTCATGTTAGTACATTTTTCGAGAAAAATAACACATAGTTTACCGATTTACAGAAAAGCTAAGCCAAGAGTACAGTTTCCATAAAAGGTACACATGTTTTCATTCTTTCACACTTAAGGGTTGTGGCTGGAAAGATATCTAACATCAAGTTTTGCTTCGTGTTATTTTTTAAACTTTAATTTACATCAGGTTTAATGTTGAGCACAGTAGTGACTTTGGTTATTCAAATGTTAAACAAACAGGTTATTAAGACTCAAGTTGAAGTGATAATATGTGACAATGTGTTATCCAACATGCTACATCACCTGTTTCTCTCTAACTTTTTACGGGTTAAAGATTTAAGCTTTGGAAGCTGAATGAGATGAGTTCTTTTCATCATCTGCTTTAAAAATTCGAGCTTTTAAAGCTGAAATAGGTGTGTCGGTAGAACTATAGGGTATGTGATTTCTACAAAACCTTATGTTCATACATATTTGGCATGTTCCTTTGGAGTTCATTTTCTTTGGAAAATAGTATGTATGATTTTTTGCTATGAATTTGTATCTTTATGTAGTTCTGATAGTGACTCTTTGTGTGTATGTACATAACTAATATTTGCATTTTTAAAACAAAAATAAGTCTTTCAGTAACTTACAATTTTCTTATCTCGAAGTATTTTCTTATCATGGATCGATTCATGTGAGCCGATCCCAAAATCGTTTGGGATTAAGGCTTGGATGTTGTTGTTGTTGTTGGAGTATTTTTATAAGAATAATTAGAGCGTCCTTATTTATATACCACTTATGTCTTTTCTAAAATTGTGATAGGAATTAAAAGCCTCATTTGATATGTTTTGTCAACATTTGGATCAACTTATTTGTATATTCGTTTGGATGTATAATTAGATTTATCAACATTTTCAAGATTGCTAGATTTTGTGTTTGATTCCACATATTTACTATTTAGTGTGTAAGGAAATGTAGTTCTTTCTCATTGAAATAACTCATCTGCATTCTATCAGTATGGGGTTTTATTTTGTTTTGATTTGGATTGCTCGGTAACTGAACTACATCCAAATGGAGTGATTCTTCCATTTCATTTCATTTCATTTCATTTCATTTCATGTCTTTCTTTTTCTTTTTTCTTTTTACAATCTTTGTGCTTCAATTTCACCTCATGTTGGTATATCTACATATTTTTCTTCAATTATGAAGCTGCACTGGAGCAAGATGAAATATAGATGATGTGTCCCAGTCTCCTCTTCTTCACCACCGATTTACGTAATAACAAGATAATATGAGCTCTCATTTGTCTCCACTAACACATTAGCTGCTTATCAATCTAATATGCAAAGAAATTTAGCTCTCTCAAGTCTCATCAAAAGAACTCATTTGCATTCAATCAACCTGAGGTATTAAACTGTTTTAGTCTGGGTTACTCGGTAACTGAATTCCATCTAATAATGGGAGTGATTCTTCCATTTTCTTTGATGTCATGTCTTTCTTTTTTCTTTTCTTTTAAATTCTGAGTGTTTCAATTTCACGTCATGTTAGTATGTCTACAAATTCCTCTACAATTTTGAAGCTATACTGGAGCGAGATGAAATACAAGTTATGTACATGTGTGTACCCTCCTCTTCACCATAGATTTCAGATTTCCTATAAGATTTTAAGAAATTGCAATGTTCTTTGTCTTGCAATGATAAGTCCCGCCTTTTATAAATTTTGCCCTACTATATGATTAGTTGAGTCTATTACGTTATTATGATTTTCTCATTCTATTTGTTTGATTGACCAAATCTATTACTACGTATTTGGTTTGTGTTATTAGAATGCTCTTATTGATCTGCACTATTGTTATTGTTGCTTGCTCAGGTCGATGCCGAAAGGCATAAGAAGAAACCAAACAGGCATGAGAAGCTTAAGGAAAATACTTCTGCTCTTGATGATGCAGCCAGTTCTCCCATCTTCACCTCCATTCATAATAATTTCAGCCAAAACATCAATCAGCTCAAGAGAGAATATTGTAGTACCAAGTTTTTCACATGGCTAATTCAACTACTAAATTTCATGGGCAATCTACGCATCATCTGGACCACTCTGAGCTATTTCAATTGCAACAAAACCAGGGTTTGAACGAAGATGGGGATGTTGCTCTTGAATTACAAAAAAGTTAGGTCCAAATATTGGATGAGTTAGAAGAGTTGGGTCAAACATCCACTGCCACTGCCAAAGTTAGAAAGCCAAGTCTTTTGACGAGAAGCACCCGTTCACTTCCACGGCCAAAGTCGCT